ATTAGTGTTTTTGTTTTCATTACAGATAAATACCCAGAAGTGGAATTGCTGGATCATATGACAGTTCTATTTATAATTTTTTGTGGAACCTCCCTACTGTTTCCATTATGGTTGCACCAATTTACATTTACACCAACAGTGCACAAGGGTTCCCTTTTTTCCACATCCTTACCAAAACTTGTTTTGTCTTGTCTTTTTGATTATAGCTATTCTAACGTGTGAGGTGATAGCTCATCATGGTTTTGATTGACATTTCCTTGATGATTAATGGTGTTGAGCATCTTTTCATGTACCTGTTGGCCACCTGTATGTCATCATTTGGAAATACATCTGTTCAGATATTCTGCCCACTTTTTATATCAGATTATTATTTTTTAAATATTGAGGTGTATGAGTTCTTCATATATTTTGGATACTAACCCTTTATCAGAGAGATGATGTGCACTTATTTTTTCCCACTAAGTAGGTTTTTCTTTCATTTTGTTGATGGTTTCCTTTACTGTGCAGAATACTTTTAGTTTGATGTGGTTTCACTTATTTGTTTTTGCTTTTGGTGCTTTTGTTTTGGGTATCAGATTTTAAAAAACCATCACCAAGACCTGTGTCAAGGGGCTCACCTCTTATGTTTTCTTCTGGGTTTTTTATGGTTTCGGGTCTTATGCTCAAGTCTTTAATCCATTTTGAGTTAATTTTTGTGCATGATGACCATGACAGTGATCCAGTTTCATTCTTTTGCAAGTTGCTGTCCTATTTTGCTAACACCATTTATTAAGGAGCCAGCCCTTTCCTCATTGTATTCTTGGCTTCTTTATCATAAATTAATTGATCATACATGCATGGGTTTATTTCTGGGCTATTATGATCCATTGATCTATGTGTCTGCTTCTATGCCAATACCATGCTATTTCAATTACTGTAGCTTTGAATACAGTTTGAAATCAGGGAACATGAGGCCTCCAGCTTTGCTCTTTTTCAAGATGGCTTTAGCTATTCAGGGTTCTTTGTTGTTGCACACAAATTTTAGGATTGTTCTGTATCTGTGAAAACACCATTGGAATGCTGATAAGGATTGCATTGAGTTTGTGGATTGCTTTGGGTAATATGGACATTTTAACAATATTAATTCCTCTAATCCCTGAGTGTGGAATAGCTTTCCATTTATTTCTGTCTTCTCCAATTTCTTTGATTAATATCTTATAGTTTTCAATATGCAGGTCTTTCATCTCCTTTGTTAAATATACTCACAGGTATTTTATTCTTTCAGGTGCAATTGTAAATGGGAATTTTTGTTTTTCATTTCTCTTTCAGATAATCTGTTATTAGTATAAAGAAAGGCAACAGATTTTTGTATATTGATTTTGTATCCTGCAACTTGACTGAGTTTGTTAATTAGTTCGAACAAGTTTTTGATGGCATCTTTAGGGTTTTCTATATATAACATCAGGTCATTTGCTGCAAATAATGATAGTTCTACTTCCTTTCCAATTTGGATGACTTTTATTTCTCTTTTTCTTTCTCCCTCCCTCCCTCCCTCCCTCCCTCCCTTCCTTCCTTTCTTCCTTCCTTCCTTCTCCCCTTTCTTTCTTTCTTTTTGCCTAATTGCTCTGGCTGAGACTTTCATTACTATGTTGAATTAAAGTGGAGAGTGGACATCCTTGTTCTCTGTTCTTATCAAATTCTGACTAATCAGTACAACTTCATACAACTCTGTTTTCTCTCCTTCCTTTTAGCACCAAGGAAAAATTGGAGTTAAGTTTAATGTTGGGACAGATGACATCGCCATTGAAGAGTCCAATGCAATCATTAACGATGGGAAATACCATGTAGTCCGTTTCACGAGAAGTGGCGGCAATGCCACGTTACAGGTGGACAGCTGGCCAGTGATCGAGCGCTACCCTGCAGGTAAGCCAGCTGATGTGTGTCTGGGAAAGATTTTATGAAAAACAAACTGGAAAACAGCACTGTTTTGCGTCCATTTCACCAGATTGTGGTTTTCTAAGAAACCATCAGGTATTTACTGGACTTTAGAGCCATGTGAATGTAATGCCGTCCTAAACTGTTCTTGATACAATGTACAAGTGGCATTTTATAGGAGAACTTAAAGGCACACGTTATCATTTGCAAAATTCAGGACATCAGTGAAACCAGAAAAATGCACACACAAAAGGTACAACATGTCAAAGCTCTTTTTACTGGATTCTTGCATTTGGAAAAAAAGGAAAGGCTTTGTCAAAAGTAACAAAGTTGAAATTTAAAACTAAGGGAAAGAATATTAACATTTTCCTGTGAAAGAAAATAGGACCAAAGAGTTTCTTTGATGGTGGCACATAGCTGAAACTGGTGAAAGGTACAGGTGAGCAGGGGACAAACAGAGAAGTAGTAAAGGAATTATGTATAGTATCATAAATCAGCTGTTATAAGAACGTGTAAGTAAATGAAGTTTGTTCCCACTGTCCTATAACCATGGGGTTTCACAGGATTCCGTGACACTAGTATTACTTATTTCAAGTCTATAAAGTGAATGTCAAGCTATTATTGATGAAATAAAAATGATCTTGTTCTTTGTTAATGAGCTGTGTCAATTCTACGTTACTGGAACAAAGGCAGTAGATAAGGAACAGACCAGTGTTACTTGTGGTTGCATATAGTGTCAAATTAGAAAAATGTTATTTTTAAGTAAAATACAAATTAAAAGTATAAAGGCATTTTACTGCATTTATTATCCTCTCTATATTTTAGTACAAAAGAAGTTACTAAAAATATGAGTCTCATTTCTCCCTGCCCCCCTTTTAGATATGACTGGGTTTTTTTGTACAGCAGATTTATAGCACAGTATAAAGAAAGGGTATAGGAAGAAATTTACATTTTGCACAATAAAAGTGATTACTAAAATTTATATTCAAATTCCTCTATTATAAGTATTTGTCTCTTGGAAAGAATAATTTAAGGAAATAGCTAACTTATTAAATAAAGATAAATTTCCCTTAGTACTGACTCACAATTATAGTATGAAATGCCTGTGATGTCCTTCTGGACCTTTTCTGATTTATGAAATTCTGTATCTTCAAGCCTCATTTCAAACCTATTCTATAAACCTGATATTCTCCAAATATTTGCTAAATTAAATATAATAAAAATATACTTTATGACAAAATTCAGAAGCAAGCACATTTATAATATGCCCAGTGCCTATTATAATACTGGCAAATAGTAGGCACTCAATAAATATTTGCTGAATTTATATCCTAGGAATTATCTCAACTTTACACTACCATTATGAGAATGTATACCTTTTGTTACCATCTATGGTAAGATGAAGGAATGCAATATCTGGAGGGAAAGTAACTTAAATATGTACATAATGTTACATAACCCTGCTAATCCCTTATTGAATATACTAAAATCCTAGTATGTAATTTTTATAATAACTACAGCCTCAGTGGAATTACAGAAAAGTGAATTGGTGAGTTTCCTGAAATATGGATTATTCAATACCTATTTACTATTAAGTCATTTCACTAGACACCATGAAAGATAAAAAGTAGGATACAGGGTATGGTCTAGGACAAGCTCCTGGAAATGTCATCTGTAAATAGTGGACCTGAACATATAAAATGATAAATCCTGTTACTATTACAGGTGGCAGATGCTCTTAAAAGTCTAGCTTTGTTTCACCAGTTAATTCATTAAAATTATCTCAGTTTACTAACTTTTTACTCTTATCTCACTTTCCAAACTGATATCTCTAAGAACTCTGTTCTTGAGAATGTCAATGGTGACCTATGAGATAAGAGAGGAAGTCCCATATTCAAGTCAGTTTGAGAGATTCTAGGTTAAATTAAGTTGAAAACATATGTTCTGGACATTATTATATTAAGATTCATTACGCATCTCTAAAAGAGAAATATAGTGTATGTTTCCCAAGCATAGATATTCACAGCTTAGTTTTCTAATATATTAATGCATTTGGTTAAGTATTTTATGTTTTTAAAAATTTCTGTACCTCACTATTTTAATGTATTTTATCTGATTAATAGTGTTTTAATTGTGCACATACCAGATATTATGTACTATGTATAGTTCAAAAAAAAATCTTGATCCCTGTCTTCTTGTGGCATACTAATGTCTGGTTTCAATACTAACAGCTGATATTAGGGCAGTGTTAATTATTAAGTCAGCAAATATTTGTATATTTTTCTAGACTAATATTTAACACATGTAATGTCTTACCAATTAAACAGATGTTTAGTATAAGAAATGGCCTAAAATATTTTTAAAAATCAGAGGCTGGCAATATCATGCTAATTAAGGAGCAGATCTTTAGAAGTAGCTATTTTAGTTGCAACCTTTTACATTTAGTCAAAGATTCTAAATACCCTTTCACCAAAAAGTGTTTTAGATAATATAAATAAATCGAGAATGAGTAAGCTTGCAGTTATTCTGAAGGATACAAGCAAGGGTAAAACACAGTCTTTTCTCAAGATAATTAGAGCACCTGTGAGGAATTTTGATCTATACATATAAGAAGTTAATGGCCAGTATGTACGGAACTCAGGGGAATCACCCTTGTTGTCATAGAGTATTTTATTAATCATCTGCTCTGCATACATTTCACCATGATGCTGAGGTAGGAAATAAGCCATGAAAATTTCAAATACCTTTTTCTTTTGGAGCTTCATCTGCAACAATGCCATGAAGGCTGAATACAAATTTAAAAGTAGATGTCATCTAGATTAAAGTTTTTAGAACAAAGTGATTTGATGTATGAATTTGATAGAAAATGTCTAGTATATCTCTTTTATATTGGTTTGTTGCATGACATTATTTTAAGAGATTTTCTTCTTTTCTTTTTGGTTATCATTCACAGAATAAACAGCTAGACTAAAGCTGTTACTACGAAATCCTGTAATCAGAGAAACAGGAACCAACAGACTATATTTGGTTCCTTTTAAAGTGCCTGCACTGCAAAACATAGATAATAAAGGTTGGAATTAGTAATTAAGTATAGCACTTAACCTTCCATTATAAGGCTTTGTGATAAGTGCTTTTATATGAAGCAGTTCATCTGGTAACAACACTATACCTTTAATGAAGAGTACCTAAAGCATTGACCAGTGGTATTACCCTATAATTGTCTGGAAGGCTTTCATAGAGAAACTAATTAGTAGAGGTAGATTTTATGCTCTTTTGGAGTGTATGAAATACTCCTTAACTCAGCAGTTCACATTTTAGAATAAATATTATATTTTCTGAAGAACAGACCCAGTTTCCATTATTTTTTGTGCATGGAACAAAGTATAGAAATAATGTTTTGCAAACCACTTAAAGTTAAGAAAGCCATTTATTGGTGCTTATCAGTTAAAGCTCTAGAATATAATGCATCGTTAATCTCTGATTTGTTCCTAATTACAGTTAGGTAGCAACATTATTTCTCTCAACAAAAAGAGACTTCCTCTTCTTAAAATGTTAGTCCACAAAGCCTAATATTATTTTACTTGCCTAAGATTGTTCCAGATAAATCACAGTTACCTTTGAGGACAAACCTTTGAGTTCATTTGTCTGCCACAGTATGCCAAAAAGATGTTTTTTATATTCTACACAAAGTTAGATACTGATTTTATTCCTGTTAACACATCAAATCAATGAATATTTGAAGGCTATGTGTTATATTAAAGGAACACACTAAGATTCCCATCTGGTAACAGAGCTACATAAAACAGTTCAAGATTAAAAACATGCTATATGGGAAAATACAAGAGTTATGTCATATTTGGCTAATTCCTGAATAAGACATATCTTTAAAAAAAAAAAAAGAAAGAAAATAGGTTCCAAGAAAGAAGAGGCCGTTTTGGAGTGAATGGTCTAGAAAGATTATGAAAATATGAAAAAAATAGGAAACTTGATTTGGGTCATGAAAGCCTAGATTTTTACTTGAAGAATGGCATACATTCATTTTAATGAGATTAGCAGGAAGAAATAGAGACAAAAAATATTCAGAAGGCCATTAAACAGTCTAGGTGTCAAAGGTTAAGTCCCAAAATAGGTTGTGAGAAAATAAAGAGGAAGAATACAGAATACACTAGACGATCTGGTGAACAAATGAATGAAAAGAGAGTCATTCCCACTTCTTAGTTTCTCTCTCTTGCCTGTCCCCAACCATCAAATACTCAACATTCTAATTCTGTTGTGTGTCAGCAGAGTGTGTAGGTAACGAAACGGAAACCTGTGGTAGGAACGAAGAGAGAAGTCAAAGACATGGTTCCTGCTTGCTAAGAGCTTAGTCTACTTGGGAGACAAAAAGGATTCACAAAACCTACCAATGTCACATATAATGGGTAACCTCAAAATTAGTAGCATAGAGTTTATTGCTATTAGAGTTTAAAAAAGGGAGAAAATGGCTGTCTGGTGTGGTGTAATAAGCAGGTTATTTAGGGATAGAAAGATTTAAAAGAAAGAGAGGAATAGCCCAAGGAAAGACTCCATGGAGATGGTAAAAATATATTTTGCATGACCATTCAGTTTGGTTCAAAGATCTTACGGGTATTATTTCTAAACCTTGATTTTGTTTTTGTCTTCAAAAGCTGGTAAAACATATCAGGGCTCAGGAAGGTCATACTGATGATTTTCTTTTCAATTGTACCCACGTATTTTAGATTAGTTGTTTGATTTTTAGTTCAAGTAATTAATTGTTGACTATTTGATCCGTTCCACTATTTAAAGTATTGGTTGTTTTGATCATGTGGGTGATGTTATTTATTTTTAACAGTATTTCTGCTGTGTATGATGTAACTGAAAAAAATCTATCTCATTCATAAGCATAGCATTTGAAAGAAGGAAAAAACTTCAAAGATCTTCTGTTCCAGCTCCATTTTCCAAACAATTAAATACAGCCCTGGGAAGGC